AGGCAAGAGGGCCAAAAAACACAGGAAGGGAAAGATAAAGGGAAAAGGAATGTGCCTAAATGTGCATGCCAGTACCTGAGATTCTGAGGATGTAGTTGTGTCTAATTCTGTGTCTTTATATTTCAAAGCAAGTACAAAATGAATTAATAACTAAGGTAAGTCCTCAGTTTTTTGCAGTTTCCTCATCTGCAAAATGGGTACAATCATATTTTTATTACTCATCTTGTTAAACAACTGCAAGGAAAGTATTTTGTAAACCTTGAAAAGATAAATGTGAGTGATAATGATCATGCAGAAAGCATGAACTCATTGTCACTGGTGGGCAGAATGTGGGAATTGCAGTCAGGAAGACATGGGTTCAAATCCTGCCAAGCTGTGTGAGCATGGGCAAGTCACTTAAACTATCTCAGTCACAGTTCTCTCATCTATAAATGGGCAAGCATGGTACAGTGGAAGGAACCCTGGATTTGGAGTCAGAGGATCTGGGTTCAACTCTCAGCCTCCATCATGTACCACCTCTGTGACCTTGGACCAGTCACTTCTCTGGGCCTTAGTTTCTTCATCTATAAAGTGAAGAGGTTGGATCAGATAATTTCTAAAGTACCTGACAATTCTAAATCTATGCCCCTGTGACCTACTGCTGTTATGATAGTCAAATGAGAAATATGAATAAAGCACTTTACAAATGTTTTAAATTCTGTCTCTGTTTCTGTGTCTCTCTCAGATATCATTTATGGTATGTCTCATTCTATGTGAAGTACTTGCATTTTCTGTAATAAAACACTAGCACCCTTGCTTTGGGATTGTAACTGGTGAATAGAGAAACCTTGGTATAATGCTGCCAAAGTGAGAACTGAATAGAGAAATCCAAAGGTTATTTGATTGGCTACTCTCTGAAAGAATAAAATCAATTGAGATTGACTGAGGAGTATGCACAGCTTAGGGAGCTGGTCAGCATCATGCCTTTAGAATTCTCTGTCCAGTCTTGTTTAAAGATGAATTCTGGAGGAGCTATCCAAGAATGACATAGACATAGGGAGGGTGGTGCCTGTTTGGCTTTGCGCTTTTGGAATCAGAAAGCTTGGCAGTCTCTGGAATGAATACAAAAAGTGTGGAAAATGATTACACTGAAAGTAGGTTGTAACACATTACTGACAAAGAACTGTGCAAAAGAAGCCATTGCTGAGAAACGAGAAAAGAAAGTGGGCTGGTCATGTAGCAAGTGAACGATTAGCCAGGGATCACCTACCTATGTATTCTATTGGTAATATGCATTACATGCAATGTCAAGAGTCCTAGGGGAGCTAGAACTCTGCCTTGTGCCCAAAGCATATTGGGTAGATCCATTGTGAGGATTTATGGGAGATCATGGTCAAGAGCCACAGAGGAAGGGGTATAGGTGGTTTGTTTCTCAGTCTTCATCCTTCTTGACCTCTCTGCAGCCTTTGAAAATGTCGACCACCCTCTTCTCCTAGATACTTTCTCATCGCTAGATTTTCTTGGCATTTTTCTCTCCTAGTTCTCTTACCTATCTGACTACCCTTCTCAGTCTCCTTTGTAGGTTCTTTATCCAGATAACACCCACTAATTGTGAATCTCCCCCAAGGCTCTGTCCTAGACTCTTCTCTTCTTCCACCTTCCAATCTTGCTTGGTGATCTCATCCCACTATTTCAGTGATCATTTCTATGCAGATGATTCCCAAACAACATAGGTTATTTTTTTTTTCTTTTGGCTCTCCCATTAGAATGTTAAGCTTCTTGAGGGCAGAGACTATCTTGCTTTTTCTATTTATATCCTCAGGGCTTAGCTCAGTGCCCAGCACATAATAAACCCCCTTTTCATTCACTCACTCATTTCCTCATTCATTCAATAGACATTTTAAAAGATCCTACTATGTGCAAAACACTGTACTAGACACTGAGAACACCAAAGGAAAAATGAAATCATCCTTGCAGCCCAGGAGTTTACATTTCATTGGTGGAGTTAAAACCTGTACTCAGATAAGTAAAAGGATGCTTACTAGAGTGAGGAAGCATCAGTTACCAAGGACCTCACCTAAGACTTTCCAATGTGCATGTCCTTGAGCTGAGTCTTAAAGAAGGCTAAGGTAGACGGGACGAGGAGTGAATTCCAGGCATAGAGGACAGCTTGAAAGAAGGCCAGAGAAAGGAGATGGAATGTGGACCTTGGAGAAGAGCAAATAGGCCACTTTGGTTGGTCTGCACAGAGCGTAAAGAGGAATAATAAGAAATAAGGCCAGGGCCAGATGGTGAAGGACTTAAAAGATTGAAGAATTTGTATTTTGTAGAAGCAATAAGGAGCCACGGAAGATTTTTGATCAGAAGAGCAACATGGTCAGGCCTGTGCCTTAGGAAGATTATTTTGTGGTGGTGAAGACAATTAGGGGAAGAGGGAGAGATAGGAAGCAAAGAAGGGGAGAGGGAGTCCAAAGCACTTCCCCTACCTCTAGGATGCACCAAGGGACAGCCCTGCTTTTGGGGAAAGGGATGTAAGGGGCAGCTAGGTAGTGAAGTGGATAGAGCAACTGGCCCTGGAGTCCGACGGACCTGAGTTCAAATCTGGCCTCAGACACTTACTAACTGTGTGACCCTGGGCAAGTCATTTAACCTCAATTGCCTCCAAAAAAAGAAAGGAAAGAAAGGATGTAAGGATCATAGGATGTTGAGATGATTTCATTCACCCTCATTATATTATAGCTGAGGAGACTTAGGTCCAGAGAGGTTAAAGGATTTGAAATAAGGCATAAAGGTAGTAAATAATGGAGGTGAGTTCTAATTCAGGTCTTCTGACTTGTGTAAGCCAGTGCTCTACATAAAGTCAAAGAACTATAGTTACTGTCATTTCCAGCTCGATGTGGCGGAACATCTGTTCCCTCTGCTGATGGAGTCTCTGGTCCAGCTGAGCCTGGGCCCTCTGCTCTTCCTTCTGAAGGAGCCGGAGTTCCTGCAGCTCCTTCCGCCTGAAAAATAGCAGATCATTCAGAATCATGATAGGATGTCTGCAAACACTACTTCTGGGAATAGGAGGATGGATCCATCTTATAGGTGTAAACACTGAGGCCCAGCCAAGGAAAACCATTCACTCAGTCAGGGACAGAGGAGAAACAGGAGCCTAGGAAGCTTAGCTGTCCAACACAGGAGAGGCATTGTGCTAGAGTGGAAGGAGTGCTGGATCTTGGGACAGGGACCCAGGTTTCAATCCCATTTATTAGATCTATAACTTAATATGAGTCATGATCTCTCTGGGTCTCAGGTTTGTGGGGTTTTTTTTTGTTAATGTGATTTTTATTTATTTTAATTTTTTTTATTTACCAAACTCTTACTTTCTCTCCCATCCACCTTCCTTCTTGTGGCCTCAGTTTCCTCATCTGTAGAATGAGGGAGCTAGAGTGGTACACAACTAAGGTAACTTCTAGCTCTAAGCAATCATCCTATTGGGCAACAATATCTCCCTAGTCAATAGGAGGGACCAGAAAGAACAATGGCAGATGACTGTAGGAGAGCCATGGGCCCTTCCTAGTCCCATTCTGATTGGAAGGGACCATCTTGTGTTCTTATATTTCTATCTTCAGCACTTAGAAAATGCCTAGCACACAGTAAATGTTTAATAAATGTTGTACGTGCGCATGAGTGTATGTGGCATATCCTGATGAGCTGTTTATATTTGTTTCTAGGAACTGAGGATAAAAGTGGTTATGTGTTTGTCCATACCAGCCCGTTGTGGGAAACCCTTTCACACCTCAGTAGCGAACTGCATAAAGGAGGAAATCCTGTGGTATTCTGTGACAGCTGAGATAGCAGCTTTTTCATTCTGATATTTTCTGACTCTTAAGATTGGAAAAGACATGGGGGGGGGGTCATTTAGTCTATCCTTCTGCCATGAGGCAGATGGACTGGTTCCAGCCGATGGTTTGGGGGACTGACATGCTTTCTCTGGCTTTTCTGGACTTCTCTGTATCTGCCTCTGATTTCCTCCTGCCATGTTGACATAATCAATAATTTCAAAATCTATCACTCCTGTTCTCTAGCCCAGATAAATGCCCTGCTTCCCGTGGGGGAAGCTCCTCTTGGGTCATTCTTGGTTTGGCAAATTGAAGCTGGTTCACTTCTCTGAATGTCGCTGTTCTGAAGGGGAACTGGGGGATTCTTTTCTCATACCGGGCAGAACGGATGCTTTCTCCTTTCCGGTCAGCATCTTGCACAGGCCTAGAAGTCGTCACACTGACCTCCTTCCCATCCACCACAAACTTGCGTGTTTTCTTTACAGTTTTCCTGAAGGAAAGGGTGTCCTGAAGCCAAAAAAACAGTAAGGTTTGCATCCCCATTGACTTTACCAGCTTGGGACATAAGATGATGAAAGTGCTGAATTCTCCCACCAGGGGGCAGCCCCCCTCCTTTGTTCTGGCCTGCTCTTATCACCATCCAACCAAGATAGGATGTTGAGGGCCAAATTCATTGCAGGATAATGAGTCTAAAGTATTCCAGCTTTGCAGGTAGACAACTCTTTTTTTTTTTCCTTTTTGGTGAGGCAACCAGGGTTAAGTGATTTGCCCAGGGTCACACAGCTAGTCATTGTCAAGTGTCTGAGGCTGGATTTGAACTCAGGTCCTCCTGACTTCAAGGCCAGAGCTCTGTCCACTTCATACCTAGCTGCCCCTGGTAGATAACTCTTGCAAATATTTTAGTTGGTCCTTTCCCTTAGGACCAAGTCTAAAATATACAGGGAAGAAAGTGAAATCTACCTTGTTAATTTACCAGCCTAGGCATGTGATTGTCTGCAAGGTGGCTTTTATTCCAGCCCGCTCTGAGAAACCCTCTATCCAGCCTCATACCAATCCCTTCTCAATAAACAACCTTACCTGGCTAATGTCACTTTTAACTGGTGAAGGTCTGGCGTTGTGCATATTGTCACCAGCCACATGGTTCCTGATATCTCTTGAGTCCTTTCTTTCCAAAGGTCTTGCCTCAGTCTGCTGGACCATGCCTTCACTCCATGATTCCCCATTGGACCCATTTTCCAAGCTCCCTTCTGCAAAATTAACTTTCTTCCTATCCCTCAGGGGCTCAGAGATTCCTGACCCTGTTGGCTTCTCCAGGCTCTCTGCTGTCCAAGTCAGCTTTACAGCAGGCTCCTTGTAATGACCTTCCTCTAGGTCTCTGGCTTGTCCCTGTGCCCAGGTTGGGCATCTCCCATGACATTTATAAAGGTCTCCACGGGGGTCACTACAACATTACCCTCTGTTCCTGGAATCTCATTCTCATCTTTGGAGAAATTTGCCTGTGCATCATTCTTTTCAAACTGTACGGTTGCTACTTGATTTTCCCCTCCCAAAGAGGGAGCCCTCTGCCCTCTGAGACTCTTTGATTTCCCCATTGAGTCTGGGGACGTGTTTTTCTTGGCATCCTCAGTTTTTTCCTCATATGTTTCTCTCAGCAGCAAATCTTTACCCCCTGCCTCTGGCTTTTGGGGGCAGGATTCTTTTTGGTATGAGGAGTGTATTGCATTGAGTGGCACCTTTGGCTTCTGGGTACCCCAGCCCAGTCCGTCTCCTGATCTGGAGCACTCTTGAGGACAGCATGGGTAGTGTCCTGAATCCTCCGTCATTACCTCTTCAGTATTATTGGGCAGGTTGGTCTGAATGGGGTCCCCTGGGTCCTGGATGCTCAGGAATCTGGTCCTGGTCTGGCAGAGATTGAAAGCCTCATCATACACTCAGCTCCTGACTTTTCATCTTTCGCGAGAGGGCTAGACATAAACATCCCATCCAGATGCTGAGCTTTGGCCCCTTCCAGCCGGCAGTCCCCAGTCCCTTGCCTGCAAGTAGAAGTGAGGATTGCATGACACTTTCCTTTCTTTATCAGACAGGGGATCATTCGATACTTGTGGTCCAACAGGCAGCCTCTCATATGAGGAAATCTCCAGGTTTCCCGTGGGATCATGCTTCTCCTCTGAAGTCTTCAGACCTGATGTAGAATTGGTCAGTGTGGGGTCTTCCAGACCCAGATTAACCTGCTGTTGGTCTCCTGTGGCGGGGTGGGCAGTGGCAGGGTGAGAGATTTGCTCCGGGATGCCTGAGTCAATGTCTTCTGGACTCTCTGTCTTTGAGGTCCAACTTTGAGCAGTAGTTATTCTTTCTTTCGCTAGGTGTCCCTTTTGTTCCCCAGTGAGGTTCGCTGGGGAGCTTGTGAAAAGCTGTGACCCCTGTGGCTTATCTATTGCACAGTTCATCACTGTGTCTGGCCCAGGGGAGGGTGCCCTGGGAGTAGGAAGAACATCATCCCTCTGTGAGTCTAGCATGGCCCGAGGCTTAGCGTTGGAAGTGGGCTGCTCTTCCAAAAGGTCTTTTCCACCTTGAGTGGCCAACAGCTCAGGAGTCCCCTGGGCTGGTGGGTCAAGAATGTCCTGGGACTTCAACCCACCAAAGAATGACCTTCGTCTTATTAGCTTCAAGACATCTGAAGGGCCCTTGGAGGAAAGCTTCATGGAACCTCGAGATTCAGTGGGTGCAACCAGCATGGGTGCAGATTTGCGTCTCATCTGCTTCTTCAAACTGGAAGTCCGGCTGGCTCTTGGCCGAAGCAGGCTTTGGTTTGGACCGATGGAGCTCTGCCTGCTGAGCCCAGGTCCTGTTGGATTAGGAGAATGAGCAAGGGAACCAGCGACTGGCTTGCTTGGAGAATCTCCTCGGGGGTTTTCCTGGAGGGTTACTTGATTCTCCTCTCTGGCCTGCAGGTTAAAGTCATTCCCTTTGACGGCCAGAGTTGTAGGTAGGAGCTGCACACCCTTGTTGGCCGTGTCTCCTCTGTCTGGCTTCTCCAAAGAGAACTTCCTGTCTTTTGAGGGTCTCTCTGGCTCTAGGGGAGGAATGCCATCATTGGACAAGGTGCGCTTATGTTCTCGACTTGGCTGAGAGGCAAAGGGAGAAGGAAAGTTAGGGTCTTACTGTCTATTTATAATAATGGCTCGCATTTCCCTAGCACCTTCAAGTTTGTTTTCCCCCCTCTCTTTGTACCCCCAGAGCTTAGCTTAGTGCCTGGCACAAGCACATAAATGCTTGTTGACTGACTGAGAAAACACTCCTCATCTCGATTCTGTGATATAGATAGTGTAGGTATTATTATTTCCATTTTAGAGATAAGAAAACAGAATCTCAGGATGCTCATACGTCTTACTCATGGAGACATAATAAGCATCATAGCTGACATCTGAACCCAGGTCATTTGACTTTAAAATCTAGCATCCTTTCTGCTATTCTGACTATGGGTACTCAAACTCCTTGAGTACCCTCAGTTGCCTCTTCCCTCTGATGTGAGGGCTGGAAAGCAGAGCCTCCTTTATAGAGGGCTCAGAACTTCCAACTCTTCATTGCCCATTAGCTACTCTGCTTGGTTTCAACTCCATGAACATCTTATGTCCTCCCCCCTCCAATTTTAGCTTCCTTTTGTATATTGGCTTCTTCCATTAGATTATAAGCTTCTTGAGGGCAGGGACTCTTTCTTTTTCTTATTTGTATCTCCAGTGCGTAGCACAATGCCTAGTAGGCACTTAATAAATGTTTATTAACTATTATCCATTCTCTGCTACTTCTTGCCCAAAGTCACACCTTGGGTACTCACTCTTGTTGGAGAGACCATTGATACTAATGCAAATCTTTTATTTGTTCAGCAATGTCATCTTATAGAGTTTCCTGGGAGGACTAAGAGGTTAAGGACATTCCTAGGGTCTCACAACTAGTAAATATCAGAGGGAGGACTCAGAGACAGGCCTTTCTGCCTCTAAGGCCTGCTCCCTATCCAGGACACCAGGTTGGGCCACCTCACTTTATGGTATTAGAACATTAGGACAGAATTCTACTCAGGACTGTAGAAACCTGAGACTCAGCAATGAAAGCTAAGTTTCTTCTGCTGGCGGAATTGGACAGCTTGAAATTCATAGGGTAGTTCTCTTTTTCTTCCATAGCTAATTCTGGCCCTTGGATAATATGTTATGATCTTTTAAGGAAGGAAAGAGAGAAAAAATTTGTTAGGATGGATGGAAGAGCAGGAGAGAGAGAGAGAGAGAGAGAGAGAGAGAGAGAGAGAGAGAGAGAGAGAGAGAGAGAGAGAGAGAGAGAGAGAGAGAGAGAGAGAGAGAGAGAGAGAGAGAGAGGAAGACAGAGAAAACAAAAAGAAGAAGGAAGAGGAGTTGGAGGAGGAGGAAAAAAGATGAGGAAGAGGAGGAGAGAAGAGGAGTAAGAAGGGGAGGAGAGAGGAGATGAAAGACAGAATGGGGGGAGAGAGGAAGGAAGAGGAAAAGAGGGGAGAGGAAGGGGAAGGGGGAGGAGAGGAGAAGAAAAGAGGAGAGGGTAGGGAAAAGGAGAGAATGGGAGAGGAGAGACAGAGACAGAGAGAATAATCAGGTACATACAACACAGCCTCGCCAGGAGGAAGTGGGAGCGCCACTCTGTGATGCAATGTCTGTATTTGTTAGAAGTTTATAAAGTATAAAAGATGCTCATAGCTTTTGGCCTTGGCGCACTTATTGCTGCCTACCTGAGCTAAGGTCAGAAGGAAGTTTGGCAAAGTGGAAAGGGCTCCAGTTTGGGAGGGAGAGTGCCTCAGTTTGAATCCCAGATCTGCTATTTATTAGCTCTGGGGCCTTGGGTAAGGCCCTTGACCTCTCCCTGAGCTTCAGTTTCCCCATCTGTAAAATGAAAGGGTTGGACTAGATGGTTTTTAAGGTCCTTTACCGCTCTAGAGCTTCAAGTCTGTGGCTTCTAAGGTCCCTTCCAGCCTGGTCTAATGCCTCAGTGTGATATGGAGGTGGGGACATCTTTTGCTGCTCATCCTCCCATTCCCCATGCCATGTATTCTTGAGGTTTATGCTGGTAGACTACCGCCTCTGGCAGGCCCTAGAAGTTTGGAAAGTCTTTGAGTAAGACCTGGAACAGCACCTGGCCTGTCTGTGATCTGAGGACCATCAGCTTAGAAAAGCATGAAGGATAAAACATAAAACATAAAACATATCATCAGGTGATGTTTTTCTGGCTTCAGCAAGCCAAGAAAGTAAAGGTGAGGAGGGGTTATGTTTGGCAGCGGGCACAGAAACATGTGTGTGTGTGTGTGTGTGTGTGTGTGTGTGTGTGTGTGTGTGTGTGTGTGTGCTCCATCCACAGATCTTTGAAATTATTCAAGTGTAGTGCAGTGCTTAGCAAGAGTCACCTCTAGGGGGCAAAAAGTCCCCAAAGGAAACTAGATCCCATTAGGTAAATGACTCTGCTCATGTCCAGCCTCAGCAGCCTGAGCATGGGCTGAGCAACATGGTAATAGACCCCTGTTATCCAGCCAGGCTATATTAGCTCTACCAGCCAGTGAGAAATCTTATCCCCAGTCAAGAATGTGGAACTGCATGATATATCCATGGAAAGTCACAAATCTACACTCGTCTAGTAGTCAGGATGCCTGGGTCCCAGTCACACTAGAGTTGGTGGCTCTGCCACTGATAAACTGTGTGAACTTAGACAAGTTAGTTTGAGCCTCAGTTTCCTCATCTGTAAAGTCTGAATTGGACTAGATGCTATCTTGGCATAAAGTAAGTGCCTAATAAGTGTTTTTTTTCCCATTCATTCCTTCCAGCTCTAACATGTTATTATTGCACTTTAGAAAATTCACATTTATAGATTGTTATTACTGGAAGGGACCTTGGGATCACGTAGTCTAATGCCCCCATTTTACTGATGAGGGCACTGAGGATCAAAGAGCTAGAAGAGACTTCCCTAAATTCACTTAAAGGGGACCTTGGAAATGATGAGTCTCTAATACCTTCCTTTTACTGATCCAGAAATTGAGCCTCAATGACATGAAATGATTTGATCGTGAGGCTAGAAAGCAGCAGAGCTGGGACTGCCTCAGAGCGTCTTAGCATGAGCTCTGAATCTGGATGCAAACTCACTTGTGTGACCAAAATCACTCCACCGTTATCTGCAGGCAGCTGGCGGCATAATTGATAGAGTTCTGGATGCAGAATCAGAAAGACCTGTATTCAAATCTGTTCTCAGACACTTACTAGCTGTATGATCCTGGGCAAGTCACTTAACCTCTGTTTGCCTTGGTTTCCCCAAATGTAAAATGGGGAGAATAACAGCGATTGCCTCTCAGAGTTCTTATGAGGATCAAATCAGACAATATTTGTACAAGTGCTTAGTAGAGGTCCAGTACATAGTAAGTGTTATATTAAATGCCCATTTCTTCCCCCTGGACTTATGAGAGCACAAAAGAGTTGCAAAAGCATGAGATTTAGAAAAGGAAGATCTGAGTTTGAATCCTTGTTCTGCTCCTTACTAGCTGTGTGACTTTGGACAAGTAATTTCCCTTCTTGGAGATTCATTTGCATTATCTGTAAAATAAAGGAGTTGAACTACTGGATTATCCCTATGGTTCTTTTAGCTGTAAGGGCTATGATCCTAGGGAGAGATTTTTGTTGTTGTTCTGTCTTTCTAGTCCTGTCTGACTCTTCATGACTCCATTTGGGGCTTTCTTGGCAAAAATACTGGAGTGGTTTGCCATTTCCTTCTCCAGCCCATTTTACAGATGAGGAAACTGAGGGAAAGAGAAGCCAGCTTAATTAACTTCTTGTCTAATGAATCCTGTGCCCAGAGTGCTGGCCCTTGAACAGCATCTGGAAGGCATGGGAACTGTGGCTAATAATACCAATTCACATGTTTATTATACAGTAACATTTACAGAGCGATTTTTTTCACAATGGTCATACAAGTAGTATGTATATTTTTGACTGAATCTCTGATTTTATTGGTATAGAACAGATGCAGTCCACACCACTTCTAAGTGCAGTCTGATCCAGATTAAAATATAATTGGGAAACATTTAACAAAATAAATAAAATACAATAAAACATAGCTAATATTAATATGTAGCATTAGAAGTCAATATGCAGCCCAGGGACAATTATGTATGGTTTAATGGCCTCTGTTTCTACCTGAGCTTAATACAACTGGTATAGAGAATTCTAGGGGAGGGAACACTCTATACCAATGCAGATTTGCACCTGCCTGGCAACTTTTAGTCTTAGATATTTGCCTGGAGTACTGAGAAGGGAGGTGACTTGCCCAGGGACTCGCAACCAGTATGTATGTCCTCCAAGAAGAAAGTCTTGAACCCAGAACTGAATCTAATACTCCATATTCAATCTGAATGTGATGCTCTGTCTGGGGCAGAGTACATGGGGCTATATTACTTCCTTTTAAAAAAATGTAGCCCAAGATCACACTGGCTCTCATATTAACATCCATTTGGCACTTTTGTGTCCCCAAGTCTCTCTCTACCTGGCATCTGTTATTATGCTAACAGTCCTGGGAGAACTAGGTTTAAGAAGTAGCATTTTCAAGGTTCACTGCGGCTCTGCTTTCTCTTTGTTATTCACACTCTAATGACCAGAGTCCCTAACTGGACTGTTTCCAAGGGGAAGGTTTCCAGGGAGCCATGGATTTCCTGGATAAATTGAAGTGTCCTTGGCCTTGTAGTCCTCAGGGAAATCAATCCAGAGGAAGGAGCAATTCAGCTAAAATGCTCGCAGATGCCATCCAGCTGTGACTTACCGAAAAGGCTATCTCTTCTTCTTCAAACTCCTCCAGGACTTCTGCCTTAGCTTCCGCTATCAGCTCCCGTAGAGGTCTGCTGTCTTCCACCTCTGACACAAAAGGGTGCTGGGAAGGAGAAGGAACAAAGGGAAAACCTTTAGTACTGGTTTCTTCCTCAGCAAAAGGGTGCCGGTGGCGGGGAGGGTACAAAAGGACCCCCTATGTTACAAAATGCAATGATCTCTAGGGGACCAGAAGACTTTTAATGGGTCATCTCTCTGCCTACACACAGAATTGCTTCTTGGATAGAATTAATGGCTACTTGGGAAATGGAGAAGGAGGCTGCGGCCCTGGTTGGGATAGACTCTGATTCTTCCTTCTTTCCATTACCTTTTGCATTTTCCTCCCACTCAAACCAGAACCAAAGTGAGTAACTGATCTTTTAGTAAGTGTAGAATTTAAGTTTAGAGGATTTAGCTGAACTGGGTCCTGTGTGTAAATGATGTTTGATGATGCCTAGGAAGTTGCTGGAGGCAGCCAGGTGAGCAATAGATACAGTGCCAAGCCTGGAATCAAGAAGACTCATCTTTCTGAGTTCAAATCTGGCCTCAGACTCTTACTAGCTGTGTGACCCTGGGCAAGTCACTTAACCCCATTTGCCTCAGTTTTCTCATCTGGAAAATGAACTGGTGAAGGAAATGGCAAATCACTCCATATCTTTGCCAAGAAAACCCCAAATGGGGTCATAAAGAGTTAGACGTGACTGAAAAATGACTGAACCACAACAAAAGGAGGTTAATAGTAGCACTGTCAGTATTTGGGGTGCAAGGTAGGTTGGGTGATGATTAGAAACTTCACAAAGCCAGTCACTGGCACCATAACTTCCCATAATTTTCAGCATGTAGGTCACTTCAACTTCTGGGAAGCCTAGCCTTGGGAAGGCTTCTTGGGCAGCAGCTACAGCTAAAGCTAGTTCACAGGACTCTTGAGTCTTAATACAGAATGGATTCAAGTCCCGGTTTCTAGAAAAGCTTTGAAGCAAGAGAGAAATGATGACATAGCAGCTAGGATCCATATCATAGGTGGGTGTGATAAAATGTATTGGACTGGGATGGAGCTGGATAAAGAAATGCCCTTTACACCTGACTTAGAGTTGGTTCGCTGTTTCAAAAAAATGCTCTCTTCAGTTTCAATGAGAAACCAATGAATAATAATAATAATAATAAAAAAATACACTAAAATGATCCTTTGGCACAAACCCTTTTCAAAGATTTTTTAAAAGCCAGATAGATTATGCTTAGTTATTCCACATCATAACAGTTCACATGTCTAGAGTACTTTAAAAATTTACATAGCTTTTCAATAATCCCTTGAAATACATAGTACAAGTATTATCGTCCTCATTTTACTGCTGAGAAAACTGAAGCTGAGAGAGGAATAGTGATTTTCCTAAGGTCTCGCTTGCTGTCTCTGTAACCAGGCATGAAGGACAAGTAATGAAAATGTTTGGCATGGGGAGATGGAGGGTCATGTGTGAGGATATTGGCAATGCTATCTTCCTCAACAGAGTGGAAGCTTCTTGAGGGTCTAGGACAGTTTACGTCTTTGTGTCCTTTGAGCCTGGCATAGTTTAAGCACTTAATAAATGCTTGCTAATTGACTTAATTGGTTCTCAGATCTCCCTTCACGGTTTGAGATCATTTGGGTAAAACACGGATCCTCTGGCATGGAGGCCATTTGAACAGAAGACAGTGGAAGTGGTAGAAATATTGAGGTATATGTCACACCTTGGAGATAGGCTGCTTACCTGCAGGAGCTGGCAGGCAGACCATCTGCTCTCAGGATCCCTCTCCAAGGATTTCCTCAGGAAGTCTTTAAACTCTTCAGACCTATAAGGAATATCCAAGAATTGGCTTGCTTATTCCAGTGTCTGACATCCAGAGATCATCACTAACAACTCTCATTGCCCTTTGATGTACACTGAAGGGCCACCTTTTCCCCTCTGTATGGAAGGGGTTTAGAGACTTCTTCACTCTTACAAAAGCCTTTGATTCCTTCTTCTAAAGTGGAGGGGACAATCAGGAAATAAAGGTCAGATGAATGGTTAAAGATCTCACGTAATCCTTAGTGAGGCAGCTAGGTGGCATATTGGATAGAGGACTATACTGAAGGTCAGGAAGATGAGCTCAAATCCTGCTCACCCATTTATTAGTAGTGTGACCCTGGTCACTCAACCTCTCTTGGTCCACTTTTCTCATCTGTAAAATGGGGATAATAATAGCACTTACCTCTTGGTGTTGCTATCATCAAATGAGATAATATATGTGAAGAACTTAGCAAATCTTAAAGCAGCATATAAATGCTAGCTATTATTATCAATGACTTTTTCCAAGGGAAAAAAGAAGCATAAGAGATGGAATACATGTATACTAATAATAACTAGTATTTATATAATGTGTGCCAGGTATTATGATAAACATTTTACAAATATTATCTCCTTTGATACTCACAATAACTCTGGGATATAGGTGCTATGTGTTATCCTCATTTTACAGATGATGAAACTGAGGCAAATAGAAGTTGTGACCTACCCAGGGTGCCATAGCTACTGAGGTTGGTTTTGAACCAGGTCTTCCTGACTTCAGACCCAATGCTCTGTCACCTAGCTGCCTAGTATTGATCCCTAGATGTGATAAAAGAGAGATAAGTGAACCTTATGAGAATAGGTACTGTGTGTTTTATGTCATCTAGCTGTCTCTGGTACCTACGACAGAGACTTGCACAGAGTTGGAATTTTAGAAATGTTGGTATTTTGTATGTATTCCACATATACTTATGTGTCTACATGTTGCCTCCCCTATATAAGCTCTTTGAGGGCAGGGATAGTTTCTTTTTTGTCCTTATAACCTTAATACAGATAATAAATTAATAAATTAATTTAATAATAAAAATAAAATATTAAAATTAATCAATTAACTAAAAATTAATTAATTAATGCTTGTTGTTCACTTTCTTTTTCTTCCTCTTTTTTTCTTTCACTTTTTAATTTGAATCTTCTTGTACAAAATGACTGATATGGAAATGTTTTACATGACTGCATATGTATAAACTATATTGGATTGCTTATCATCTCAGGGAGGGGTGAGGAGAGGGAGGGATAGAATTTGGAACTTAAAACTTTTTTTTAAAAGTTTAAGAAATTGTTTTGACATGTAATTGGGGAAAAAAATAATTTTTTTGGATTATTTTTAGTTTTAAAAAATAAAATATTAAAAAATAAATGTTTGTTGCTTGATTGAATTGAACCGCTGAATTGAAGTGATATCTTTTTTGCTCTAAGGCCAAAGTCCTAGTTCTTAGCCTCACTCTTCTAGGGATCGAAGGTTTCAGACTTAGTCCCCTGAAGTGGGAAGGGGGAAGATCTGTGGCACTCTTCTGTCTAAGTGAACTTTGATTTTTAATAGTGAATACTGTGAACAGTATGAGTTGAGAGAAAAGACTGGGAACAGTGCCCTAGACCACTCCAAATGCCACCTTTTTAAAGAAGTCTTCCCTGAAAGCACCCAGTAGGTAGTGACCTCTCCCCACCTTGGACTTCACACAGCACTTTTCTGGGTATGTGCGACATCCCCCTATTAGATCTGAGGGCAGGGATCAGTTATATCTCTTCACTAACCCACCATCCCGGCTTCATGTGCCTATCTAGTTATAATGCTCTGCACCCCGAGATAATAAGTGCATCTTGAGATAGAACAGAACTTGGAAGTTCCCTGGTCTAACTTTCTGGCCTATAGAGAAGTAACCAAGTTCTGCAGAGATGAAGTGCATTGCCCCGGCTCCCTCAGAGCTGGGGTTCAAACTCAGATTTTTTGACTCCAAATCCAAAAAACTGTCATTGATTTGAATCAAAATGAATTGAATAGGAAGGGGAGAGGCCTCTTGCTCTTCCGCATTCTGAGCCTGGTGAACCTACAAGGATAGCAAGAAAGGTCCATGGTCCAGACCAAGGCTCCTAGAGCAGTAGGGGTACCAGGTGGGGAAGATCTGCCCTCGTGGAAGAACAGTCACAGGGGCCTTCCCGAGGGACTTGTTTCTTTAGTCAGTGAACAAGTACTGAATGAACTCCTATCATCTCTACTATTTGTATCCTTGAGAATTGCACAAGCTCGGATAGTTTGGGTCAAAGGATAGTTTGTAACTCAGGGAGGCCCCCATCCCTACTTCTCTGGTTGTACCATCTACTCACGGCAGTAGGTCAGGTCTGCAGACGCTTTCTTCCCCTATCCTAAAATTCTGTCCTTAACCCCTAATAACCATGTCCCTGCTATGCGATGCAAACGTCAAACATAGTAGGCACCACCTCACTGTGATTGCCTGCCACAGGCTGCCTCCTCTCCCTCATCCCTGCACCATTTTGCCCACGTGACTGCCTACACCATCCCTTGCTGCTTGGCACTGGCACCTCCCCGGGTCTATTAGTTCTCTAGGCTCTGATCTGGCCCGCTCTTTTCTCAGCACTGCCCCCGTTATGATAAGAGGGGAGGGGAGGACTTGCCATTGCTCAGGGTAGCGCAGAGTGGGTGGCGGGGACTTGTGGATCCTTAGCAACACCCTCATGGGGTTCAGCTCATGATGGGGAGGCTCCATCTCAGCCATCTCTATCAGTGTGATCCCCAGGGACCAGATGTCAGCCTTGTAGTCATAGGGAGCCTCCTTGGACGTCTCACACTGGATGACCTCGGGTGCCATCCTATAGCCAGAAACAAGGGTTCGTCATACCTGTCCCACTTGGACCCCTTCCCTCTGCCCTTAAGTTGCCAAGAGAAGAGAAACCAAGGGGGCTAAGATTGGAGAGCATGGTAGTCAGCTTGGTCAGTGGACTGATGTATTGGGATGCCCTATCCCTTTCCTTAAGTAATCTTTGCTGGAGGTCCCTGAGGAAAGTCTGGTTTCTGGGGGCCAGGCTGGGAGAAACACCCTATCCTTTCCAAAAGGCTAATCAAGGGAGGAAGACCTTAGGATCATTGATCTTGAGCAAGAAGGACCTGTTATTTAGTCTAATCCTCTCATGTTGTTGAAAAGGAAACCGAGGCCCAGAGAAGAGAAGAAATTCACCCAAAGGTCACACAGGATTTGAACCCAGGTCCTCTGACTCCCAGTGGCCTCTGAGAGCCCCTGCAGCCCGATTTCTATGTGCCTAAGATCCACGGCGGGATATCGAGGACCCACCAGAAAAGAACATTGCCCAGAAGGGAAACAAACTGAATGACCCAGAAGAAGAGTTGAAAAACACATCTCTCTCTCCTCTTTGAAGAGGCGGGGGACTAGGGGCTGAAGAATATTAGATGCATGTTGTCAGGCACAGCTGAAGTAGTCATCGGTTTTGCTGATCTGCTCCTCCCCTCCCCTTTATTTTTCAGTCTTCATCACATGATCAAAGATTTAGCTTAGTAGGGTAGAGGAAGGGGGAGGGCAATATCTGGAAATGAGGGTTATGTTAAAATAAAATATATTAGGAATTTTTTTTTAAAAAAAGAATATTGTTTACAGGGTAGAGGACATGGGGAAGGAGTTTTATGAGATGAACTGTGATCTCATCAGTGCCCTTTTTATGGTACAGGCTCCATGGCTCTCTGCTGAGTCTCCTATTCTTGAAACTAACCATTTGAACTTCTTTTCTTGATTCTCCACCTAGCCTTTGGATTTGGCTGTTGCATGAACTCCACCCAACATCTTGTGCACCTTTCCAGATAACTACTTGGGCCATGCCCATCTCTTTACCCAGGGGGACTCTTTTTGCCAATTGCACTCTCAAGTATCTGTCCTATCCCCTTTCTCCCTAAAAGGCCAGAATCCAAAGGCAAGAGCTAGTGTATTCCTCTGTGTTCTAAGGATTGATACCCAAAGCTCAGTCAACCTCCCACCTCACCCCAACCCTGGGTGGGAGCCATGGGCTCCCTTGGAAGTTGGACACCTTGTCCACCCCCCTGGGCTCCCTAGCTGTACCAGTATGGTGTCCCGATGAAGGAAGCTCTTCGCTGCAAGGTGCGAGAATTCTTAGCTGACACTCCAAAATCAGCTGTTTCAAGAAAAGAGATGGAGGAGGTAAAGTGAGGGATTAAGAACAGAAATTTCCTTTCTCTCCCTCAATGCCCATAGAGTGGGTCTCTAAATACCCTTGGGTATTTACTCACAAATTTATTTATATTTGCCAGGAAACCTACAGGACTTTGGACTTCCCTATTTCTCTTCAACAATTAAACAATTGTTAACTGCCTACTATGTTTGACCTATGCAAGGCATCCTACTAAATATAATAAAAAGAACATAATCCCTCCCTTAAGGTACTTACAAAAGTCTGACTATATAGGGAGCCATTGCAGATTTCTGAGGTGGGGACTGACAGAGCTAGAACTCTTTCCTAGAAAGAATATTTTGGCAGGTGTGTGAGGCATGGATTAGCGTGGGGAGAAGAAGGAGGTAGGGAGAGGAACAGTTAGGAGTGTATTATAACATCCAAGGTAAGAGATGATGAACTAGGATGGCAGTAGTTGAATGGAAAGGAAGGGATAGATAATAGAGGCATGATGGAGTTAGAACCATCGGGATTTGGTAGCTCTTGCTACCTGGTGAGGAAAACAGAGGTAAGGAAGGGGGAAGGGTCAATGATGACTCCAAGGCTTTAAGCCTGGGTAACTGGGAAGATAATGGTTCTCAACAGAAATGGAGAGTTTAGGAGGAGGGAAAGGTTCTACAGGGGAGGATGATGAGTTTAATTTTGGACATGTGGAGCTTAAAATGCCAGTTGTATGTTTGAGACAAGGTTGTCAAAAATGTAGGCCTGGAACGAGATGAGAGATCAGTTTGGGAGTCATCTGAACAGAGAGGATAATTGGAGGCAAGGGAGGGGTTGAAATGACCAAGGAAGAGGATTTTAGAGCAAGAAAAGACAGAGGCTTAGATTTCGCCTCCACCTAGAACAAAGAAGATGGTACAGCAAGAGAAATTTACAAGAATGGTCATAGGTTGGAGGAAAATGACAAAAATATAGAGGAAGAGAGATTATTAAGAAAACAGGGTGGTTAATAATGTCAGATGTTACAGAAAGTTCAAGGAAGATGACAATTGAGAAAAGACCATCAGATTATGCATTTGAGAGGTCACTGGGCTTTTCTGAAATGGCAGTTTCAAAAAAAAATTAAAAAAAATAAATGGCAGTTTCATTAGTGTGATAGGGACAAAAAGGCCATAATTCAGGAGCTGAGGAATGAGGGGGTGGTGAGATGTAACAAATGTAGACTACTATCTAAAAGTTTGGCAGTAAATAGGAGAGGGGGCAGCTAGGTGGTCGTGGATAGAGCACCAGCCCTGGATTCAGGAGGACCTGAGTTCAAATCCGGACTCAGACACATTATACTCACTAGCTGTGTGACCCTGGGCAAGTCACTTAACCCCATTGCCGGTCCCCCCTAAAAACAAACAAACAAACAAATAGGAGAGATAAAAGCATTGCATGAGGAGGTGATATGATCAAGGGAAGAGTATTTAATTTTTATTCATTTATTTATTTGGTGAGGCAATTAGGGTTAAATGACTTGCCCACAGTCACACAGCTAGTGAGTGTTATGTGTCTGAGGCCACATTTGAACTCAGGTCCGCCTGACTCCAGGGCTGGTGCTCTATCCGCTGCACCACCTAGCTGCCCCTATTTAATTTTTTAAAGAGCATTTTGTAGGCAAAGAAGGAATTAGTAGAGAGGGAAAAATTGAAGATGAGAGAGGAGATGATTGATACGGAAAGGTCTCAAAGGAGCTGGGAAAGTTATTAGGAGAGAAGGTTAACCTTGGCAAAGAGGAATGCCACTTCCTTTGATGATAGTGGAGAGAAGGAGATAATGTGTGAGGACAAATGAAGGTTTATGAGACACAGAGTAGGAGAGATAAGGAATCTCACAACAGATGTTCCCTTCTCAGTAAAGAAGGCAAAGACATCATTTGTTGAAGAAAATGAGTGTGAATGGAATTGGGAACTTGAGAAGGAAGGGTCTGCGACAGTTACTATGGGACATTTGAAAGGGAACTAATCACAGATAAATGAAAGGATGACATTTCAAAGGTAACTTAGTTCAGGGGTTGGGAACCTGCAGCCTCCAGGCCACATGTGGCCCTCTAGGTCCTCAAGTGCAGCCCTTTGACTGAATCCAAACTTCACAGAACAAATCCCCTTAATAAAAGGATTTGTTCTATAAAACGTGGACTCAGTCAGAAAGCCACACCCAAGGACCTAACAGGCCACATGTGGCCTGGAGGCTGCAGGTTCCCAACCCCTGAACTAAGTTACCTTTGAAATGTCATCCTTTCATTTATCTGTGATTAGTTCCCTCTCAAATTTTCTCACCCCTGGCCCTAGTTAAAGTTTGATGGCATGGGTTTGTATTGGACTGAATTATAATTTCTAGACTTGCAAAGAGGGAGTTCTTGTCTTCTTGTGTGTGTGTGTGATGTATGAGACAAGGTCCTGGGCTGAGATTGAGAGGATGTGGTGCCAGGATGTGGTGAGGAAGGATGAAAAGGTTTGGAAGAACCTCTTTTGTAAGAGGGATAGCAGAATGATTAGGGAGAAGTATGAGGATTGCCTTGCTGTGGTGAAGGACCAGTTGAGATTATATAACAGATTTGTGGTGGATCCAGTGAGCACATAGCACTGGGAGTCACTTATCTCCTTGACTCACCACATTTAGTCAGTTACCAAGTACTGTCCCTCCTTCTGCCCCTACCTTAGTTTAGATTCTTGTTATCTCCTACATGACCTTGTTGCAATAGTCTCCTAACTCATCTCCCTGCCTCTGGTCTCTTTCCCATCCTGAAGGTACCGTCAAAAGAATTTTTATCACTCTTTTGATCATTCCCCTCCTATCTCTTCAACAGCTCCCTACTGTCTGCAGGACAAAATCCAAACTCCTTAGCTAGGCATTCAATACCCTTTCCTGCCATCATCTACTCTTCCTTTTTAGGTCCATCCTGTACTTCAGCCTGACTAAGGCGCACTGAGAGGAAGGAACTTGCCTAAGGTCACCCAGCAAAGCTGAGATATGACTCCAAGTCTGGGGTTCTTTCCATTCCCCCATGTAGAGCAGTGAAAAGGGCCCGCCAGGGTGCTGAGCATGTCTGTTATCTCCTCCTCCAGAGGTGTGTACGCACTTGCAGCAGTCACCTTATGCTCAGTCTCTAGGCCATGTCTGGGGCAGCACCAGGATGATGTCACATGCCTGCACAGCTGTGTTGACTGTCACAAGCCTGTGTAGGGGCTAGCCCTGACTGGGGGGTGGGGCACGGCTTGTGAGCATTGAGTGGATGCTAGAGTGCGGTGGAGGAACATGGACAGCTTTTGTATGAGTCAGTCAGTGGGAGTGAGTTTTCCTGATGAAAATGATTGAGCCTGAACCAGGGAGTAGGTTTGTTGATATGAGAAGAGAGTAGGGAGAAGGGAGGGGAAACTGGAATCCCAGTGGGATCAGGGAAGACTTTTCACCCCTCACATCAACCAATCAAACGTTGCTTTGTTTTGGTCCCTTATCAGCAGGAAGGTATATTTGGGGTGATATGCATGACAAAGAGTAGTACACATGGTGGGGGCTGGTTATTTGTTGGGTGGGGAACAGTGACAGATGTGTGTGTGTGTGTGTGTGTGGTGGGGTTATACACAAATACATAAAGGATCTATGGTTTCATCTGCTTGAGAAATTTCTCATATGGGCTCTCCCTCTACCAATACAGATTGTATCCCATTTGTGATTTAGCTGGGCAGCTAGGTGGTACAGAGGATAGAGCATCAGACTTGGTAGTCAAATCCTGTATTAGACACTAACTAGCTATTTGACACTAGACAAATCACTTAATCCCTTGGTCTCAGTTTTCCCCCTCTGTAAAATGGGGATAATAATAGTGTCTACCATAAAGGGTTGTTGTGAGGATTAAATGAGGTAACATATGGAAAGAAAGCACTTTGCAAACCTTAAAGTGACATATAGATGTTGGTTATATAGCTAGTAATAGTAGTATGATAGTAGATAAATCTTGGTGACTTTCCTAAGGCAAATGAGATTAAGTGACTTGCCCAGTGTTACACAGCCAATAAATGTTAGACATGGAATTTGAACCCAGATCCTCCTCACTGCCATCTTAGAGCTTTTATCCACTATATCATCTTGTTTCCTGTTACGGTTATGTCCAGGGTATCTAGTCTAGGGATAAGGACTGGACCTAGCTTAGTTTAGTTGACATGGGGACCTCCCACATGAGGAAACCCTCTTTACCAATACAAGTTAGCACCTTTTCTGCTGCTTATAGTCTTAGAGAGTTGCCTAGAGAACACTAAGAGATTAAGTGACTTGCTCAGGGTCACACAGCCAAGAGGCGTCAGAGACAGGATTTGAACCCACATTTTCCTGTCTCTAAGGAATAACATGTCCTCTTGTCTATCCAGGGGGTCCACATGTGTCTGGGGGCACACTGTGAAGCAGTGGTGTGTGGATGTATGTGTGGGGCATTATATGAATTCATTCATTCCACAACTACTTACTGACCACCAAAGATGGGCAAGGTGCAATTATTTAAGGGATGGAAGGAGATTCAGACTGGAATTAGACTTGTTGGTCAATTACCACATGGTACCAACTACCAGAGTAGAAAATGTATTGGATCTGAAATCAGGAAGACCTGGGTTCAAATCACACCCCTGACACTTACTATATGACCATAGGCAAGTCACAACTTCCCTGGACCTGTTTCCCCATCTGTAAAATGAGCATAATAATATCTGTAGCCTATACTTCACACAGTTGTTTAGAGGTTCAAATTTTGTAATTGCATATTAAGTGCTTTCAACTTCTTAAATTGTGCCAGCTATTATTATAATTATGATCATTGTTATTATTATGAGGTAGTTCAGGAGATATGTAAGCATATGGGGGATTTGAAAGGCTTTTATAGGTTAAATATTTGGGGAATTTGAAGATTTGTATGTGCAGATTTGCAATGTGTGGTGCATTGGGAGTGAATGTAAGGGTGTATGGACACACTTGTATAGCAGGGAAAAGGTAGTTTTCTTGGCCAGGTGGGGAGTGGGGAAATGGTCCACGAATGGGTATTTTCAGTAAGAGTTGTGAGGGAGAAGGGCATGTTGGGGGAGGATTTGGCGGGGAGTGGCTCAGGGTTTTACTCACCAAGTTTGACATAGCCTTCGGAAGACAGCAGGACATTCCCAGCCTTGAGGTCCCGATGAATGATCTTGGATCCATGCAGATATTCCAGAGCCTGCAACATCTGCTTACAGACTACTTGGATCTGCACTTCTGTCAACCCTTTCTCCAGCTCTGCAAGGATGAGAGAGAGAGAGTGAGACCTTGGAGTCGGCCCTGCAAGCTCCATCATCATCATCACCAGCATCATCATCATCATCACCATCATCATCACCATCATTATCATCATCATCATCATCGCCATCACCATCATCATCATCACCACCATCATCATCCTTATCATTTCAGCATTTATGCAGAGTGTCTCAAGAGCTTTTTGGCCCATCCTATAGTGTGCTTTAAGGTTTGCAAAGCCCTTTACATGTGTTATCTCATTTAATCTTCACAATGGCCCTGGAAATAGATGTTATTTTTTATTATTCCCAGTTGAAGAAACTGAGGCTAAAAGGTGAAATCATTTGCCCAGAATGATATAGCTAATAAGCATTCAAGGCAGAATTCAAATATATGTCTTCTTGATTCCAAGATAATGGGGAGTGTGGAGGACCCAGAGGCCCTATTTCACAGCTTGGGTCTTGGCTTTCCTTTCTGTATAATGGGGTGGAAATACTTTAGTAAGATGTGACATCTTCGGGGAAAGGCGCCTTTCAAGGGCTGCATCCTCAGAGTTATGGACAACTAGGCTGTGACTTAGTGGTAGCCCATGGAATATACTTACCCAGAATGATGGCGTCCACAGCACCTCCAGGGCAAAACTCAATGAGGATCTGAGGGCCAAAGAGACCAGGAAGGAAGAATCAGATGTCTTATGGAATACTTCTTGTCCTATATTCTCTACCCCAGCATACACCTGACCCATATATACACCCCTCACATATACCCCCCTCACATATACCTACACAGCCCACCACATACACCAGTCAGAGGACCTGTGTTTAAATCCCATCTCTGCTATCTACTCCAGTACAATGAGGGAATTAGACTCTAGTCTCTAAGTTCCCTCTGAGTTCTAAATGAATGACCCTACGACCTCTCCACACACATAGCCACTCTTCAAATACATCTCCAAATCCCACCCCGTACATCCCCACATATATGATATTCGTAGACACACGCACAGATGTGGATATATCCACCCACCCAAATGTTGCAGACTGCAGTATAGTTACCACCCAGCCCCAAGCTGTTGGCTTGAGTCTCAAAGAGATTACGTGACTGCCCAGCAAGTACCAGAGGCTCTGTGGTCTTTCTGACTCCTAGTCCAGCACTCTCTACGTTATTCCATACTGCTTTCCTCGCTAGTGAATGACGCAACAAAGACTTAAGTGTCTACATTGTGCTGAGCGCTGTTAGGTGTTGGGGGAGATGCAAGATTTAGAGAGGACAGACTCCATCTTCAACAAGATCAAGTTCGGATGGTGGAAAGAGCATTGGACTTGAGAGTCAGAAGTTTGGGTCCTGGCTGTTCTAGCTGTGTGACGGTGGGTGAGTCACTAAAGGGAAGGAGGAGGTAATAAACATTTATATAGTGCCTGCTATGTACCAACCCACTCTGTTAAGTGCCTTTCTCCCCCCCTCACAACAATCCTATGAAGTAGGTACTGTTATTATCCCCATTTTACAGTTAAAAAAACTGAGGCAAACAGAAGTTAAGTGATTTGTCTAGGGTCACACAGTAACTAAGTAAGATTTGAGGGTTAGAAGTTAGGGTCTTGGCATTTCTAGTTGTGTGACTGTGTATGCGGGGGAGGGAGGGTCATTTAACCTCTCTGAATCTCAGTTCCCTCATCTGTAAAATGGGGACAAGACTACTTATACTACTTATTTCTATAAATATGAATCGTTATTCTCCCATCTCCTTTCTTCCCCATATCTTAAGTAAACCCTTTGTGCTTTGCAAATGTGAGTTCACGCTACCCAAGAAATTAAATAACTGGCAAAAGAAATTGTTCTTGATTATGTAGGATGAGAGTCAGGACATAGAAAGGAGGAAGACTAATCGAAGCAGGGTGGAGACAGAAGTGTGAGCCAGAAATTTAGGACAGAAGCCAAGTAAGACAGAGCAGAACAGCTAGGAAACAAAGCATGAGTCCATGAGGAGAAGCACCCAGTTTGGAGGATCTGTTCTAGCTAGAAAGGACCTTGCAGCTTCTATCTAGGGAAGCAAAGGGAGGGAGCTCTGGAGTGGACTGGGGCCAGAAGCGGGGGAGGCAGGGCATAGAAAATCCAGAACTGAGGAAAGTCTGAAGTGTAAAAGCTCCTCTTTAGAACTAGCTCCAGCCCCAGAATAGATCAAAGGACACTTGCAGGCAAAGTAGCTTACTCTCCAACCTGCTGGGATCACTTCCTGTAAGAAGGATAACAGCCTTTGGTGAGGACCAACAGTCCCTTAGGATCTCGTAGGATCTGGATGCTGTTGCTGAATTTTGACCTACTTGACTACCTGGATCCCTAGGACTTACTTGCCTTTTTCAGTCATGTTACTCCAACTCACCTTGTCAGGCTGGGTGGCTTCTTTCCAGTTTCTTGGCTGTGACCACAGGTAACCAGAGAGATTTCCTGCCCCTTGTCATGGCTCTCTGGTTTACAGCTTTTACTCTACTTTAAACATCTACTGATTTCTGGCATTTATACCCACCCCTAATCCAAGGTTTGCTGGTAAAGAACCCAGGTGCCCCTGTCTATGTCTCTCTTCCTCTCAACCCTGTAAAATTGAAAATTGACTTTAATTCTATTTTGCTAAGACTTAATCAAGCTAGATTTAATATGTTGAGGTTCCTTCCCCTTGTAAACTCCACCCAACACCCATATCACAGAGGAACTTGCCTAAAGGCCAAGCTTTCATCTTGTAATTACTTCTACCTTTGTACCCCCACCCATTACCCACTTTCCAAAGAAACTTGATTAACCTAAAAGGTCAAATCTCATGAATTTAAATTTAAACTATTGTTGTTGAGTCACGTCTGACCCTTTGTGACCCTGTTTGGGGTTTTCTTGGCAAAGATACTGGAATGGTTTGCCATTTCCTTCTCTAGCTCAACTTATAGATGAGGAACTGAGGCAAATAGGGTTAAGTGACTTGCCCAAGGTCACACAGCTAGTAAGTGTCTGAGGCCAGATTTGAATTCAGGAAGATGAGCATTTCTAACTCCAGACCCTACACTCTATCCACTATACCACTTAGTTACCCTTAAACTATTATACTCCCATTGCCTAAAGACTATTCCCATGGCATGAGAAGCTTTGTCTTGTGACTAGAATCACATGTCTTGGCTGTGGTTAAGGGGGTTTCAGAAGGGGAGGTCCAAATGATGCAATCTCAGTTCTCAATTCATCGACAGCCAATTGGAAGAAGACACACCTATGTTACTCAAAATTTTGCTCTGCCATTTTGTTAAAAGACCCTGTTGGCCTTCTTCAGGGTCTTTGGTCATCAAGAAAGGCCATTGGTCCCATTTATTGGTAATTGCTAACCTTTCTAATAAATAGATCATGCTCAGAACTTTGTCTCAGATCTTTTACTGTAACAACTTCTTTAGAGCAGGACCATCTCTATCTTGCTGGGGCCTGTGTCTCAGAGTGTTACTGAAGAAGACAAATCCCCCAGATTGGACAAAATTAGACACAACTACGCTATGCACTTGAAATTTGTTGACCTGTATTAAGTTTATACTCCAAGCCTACTTACATTATGTTAAAGTTGTTTCTTGAATTTCACACTGTTGACAGTGTATGATAATTCAGAAAGAGGTCATGTTGTGAATCCAAGACCACAGCCTAATGAGGACCTATTCTTCTCCTTTAATCTAGGAAACTCTTAGTTGGAGTGCCCCTGGAATTTAGAAATTTGAGGTCAGGGATTGTGTCTTGGGTTCATTTTCTTCTGCTCCATGATTCCTGTGATCCAGCAATACTTTCAGATAAAGAGAACAACCATCCCACACTTTTCTCTTTAGTGGACTATGAGAATGATAAAGAAAACTTGCCATTTCTTAACAACTCCAGGCTTTGCCAATTGGGTAAAATTTGAGAAACTACTTTATTATAATGTAAATAGTGGAATTCAAGCTTAATACAGGCCAACAAATATCAAAATGACCCCTGCTTGATCCTATCACTTTCTTGTGCCTCCAAACTTTGAGTGTTTTAGCTAAACAGTGTCAGAGCCCTAGGGCAGGGGACAGTAACCACCATCATGGCCTTTTCCATCTCCTTTGTACTTTTCACCAAGGAATTCATCTTCCTCCATTCCATAGAGGCACAAAGAGGGTGGATATCATATGATGGCCTGCATCACACAGCAAAGGCAAGGACAGAACCAGGACTATAATCTAGTCTCTTATGGGGATGCCCCCCTTTACCTGACTATGTAGAGTCCATGAACAAGCTAAGTGTTAAAACAATAGAGATGCTCTAAGGATATACAGCTGCGCATGGCTTAGTCCTTGTTAGCCCCACCAACTTACCCACAGTTTGCCTTCCCAGTAGAGGGCATCCAGTAGTTGAACAATGTGTGGATGATCACAGCCAGCCAAGATGTCAATTTCCATTATGTAATCCTCCAGCTCCTCCTCGCTGTGAGTCTCAATCACTTTGGCTGCAGCCAAGACCCCAGTCTCCTTGTTCTGAACCTAGAAGATACAGACACAAATGATCCTTCTTGAGTCAGCTCCTACCTTCCCCAACTTTCCCATGACCACTTTACAGAATGAATAGAGGGAGCCAGGGTTTTATTAGTTTATAAGCTCCTCCAGAAACCAGGGCCATGTTTTATTCAATAGCTCATGAGGAAATGAGCTTCTGGTTAGCAGAGATCTTCAAGTAAAGGCTGGTTGACCATGTATCAGGGATGCTACAGAGGGGATTCATGCCTGAGGAAAGGATTGGATTGGATAGCCAACTCTAGGAAATCTAGAATTTATAATTCTTAGGTTATACCTATATATAGACCAATCTCTAATTCTATCTCTATCTCTGGTGCTATCTATTGTTCCAAAAATCTTAGTGCAGTTTAAAGCTTTAATAAGCTGAAGATTGCACTTAAACTTTTGGGACACCATATATATATACATATAATATATAAAATATGTGGTTTTATGTGTGTGTGTCTCTGTGTCTGTGTCTGTGTGTGTTCTGCAAAGCCCAATACAGTGTCTTGCCCAGAATAGATTCACTGAATGAACGAATGATTTCCTGGCAACCCTGCACACTTACTGGGATGCTTGACTTCAAGTTTTGACATGTTTCTTCAACCAATGAATCAATACACATTTATTAAGTGTCTATTCTACACCTGGCATTGTGCTGAGAACTTTTCTTCATGGTGTGGGCAGGACCTTGAGAAAGTGGTTCTCCATTCTTTTTTCAGCATCCTCTACCTTGGGGTGCCTATACTCTCACTAATTTATTCATTTGATAAGTATTTATTAAGTACCTACTATGAGCTATCTCCCTGGGTCATCATGTTGTTGCTGCCTGTAAGCTGCCCAGCCCCATGTCTCCAACTTATAGCATCTCACTGATATAGCCTATTTGTCTACTCTTCCTGGGCACCCTCCTCCCAGACTCCAGACCCTTCTGGTATTTCCCCCACTCTCTCTTATCCAAACTTTCCTCTCCCTTCAGGCTTGCTATAATTCCCAGGTAATGACTAGCTAATCCCATAAGGAATGACACCTAGGTTGGGGGAAGAGAGACTCAATCATTATAATTATTGTTGTTATTTAGTCATATCCAACTCTTCATGACCCTGTGGACCATATAGCACCCAGACCTTTCTGATTTGAAAGGTTCATCTTCTGATGTCATGTCTTTTAGCATTTTTAATACTGTGCATGGAGTTTTCTTGGCAAAGACATTGGAGTGGTTTGCCATTTCCTTCTTTTCTTTTCTTTTCTTTTCTTTCTTTCTTTCTTTCTTTCTTTCTTTCTTCTTTCTTTCTTTCTTTCTTTCTTTCTTTCTTTCTTTCTTTCTTTCTTTCCTTCCTTCCTTCCTTCCTTCCTTCCTTCCTTCCTTCCTTCCTTCCTTTCTTTCTTTCTTTCTTTCTTTCTTTCTTTCTTTTTTTTAATACAGTTGGGGTTAAATGACTTGCCTGGGGTCACAAGGCTAGTAAGTGTCTAAGGTCACATTTGAACTCTGGTCTTTCTGACTTCAGGCCCAGTGCTCTATCCAGTGCACCACCTAGCGGCCCCAGTCATTATAATACCTCCCCAAGTGTAATAATGTTAAAAGCACACTTTTAAAAAAATATTTTATTTATTTTTTGTTTTTTAAATTTTTTTTAAAGCACACTTTTTAACATGCTTTCTCACCTATGATTTCATTTGGGCCTCACAATGACACATGAAGTTGGTAGGACATCTCTTTAATTCAGCGCAACAAATATTGAAGTACCTACTATATGCCAAAAACTGCTAGGTTTGGGAATATAAAGACAAAAATGAAGCTGTTCCTGACCTGGGGAAAATACACAAATAAAATAAGAGATAAAATAGATACAAAGTAATTTTCAAGATAAGTCTCTTATTAGGAAGTGGCACCTGAGATGAACCTTCAAGAAATCCAGGGATTCCATGAGGCCGAAGTGAGGAGAAAATACATTCCAGGCATGAGGGACAGTTTATGTAAAAGCAGACAGATGTAGGAGGAATGGTAAGCGGGCCAGCTTGGCTTGTATGTAGAATGTGTGAAGGAGAGTCAAATGCAATAAGCCCCAAAAGGTAGGCTAGAGTCAGGCATTAAGGAAGAATTTATATAATAAAGATGGAGACAGTGGAGTTTCTTGATCAGAGGGCATGAGATGGTCAGGTCTGTACTTTAGGTATATCAGTTTGGCAGACGTGTGGTAGAAAGATTGGTAGAAGGTAGATGGATAGGTTAGATAAAGAGATAGATAGATAGATAGAGAGGCAGATAAAGCATTTATTAACTACTTGCTGTGTAAGTACTATGCTAAGTGCTGGGAATATAATAAGAGTAGGACCTAGCTGTGGGAGACAAATTAGGAGGCTATTGTAATAGTCCAGGCAAAAAGAGATGATAAACTAAACCAAGACAGTGACTGTGTGAATAGAAAGGAGAGACTTGGCAACTGATTGGGTATGAAGGGTGAGGAAGAAGGAAGAGTCAAGAATAACATTATGCTTGTAAACCTGAGTGACTCAGGTCAATAGAAAAACCCTCAAAAAAATAGGGAAGTTAGGAAAAGGAAATAGTTTTTTGGGGAAAGATAATGAGTCCTGTTTTGGCCATGTTGAGTGTGAGATGCCTATAGAGCATCCAATTTGAAATACTTACTATGTATTTCATGACATGGGACTAGAGCTCAGAAAGATACTAGGACTGGATGTGTAAATATAGTAGTTGTCTTCATAGAGATGATACCCATGAAAACTGATTTAATCATCAAGAGAGTATAGAGAAAAAAGGGAAGAGAGCCCAAATCAGATGCTTGGGGCACAATCTTGCATAAGGGATGGGACATCCCAAAGCAAAGGAAACTGAAAAAGAGTAGTCAGACAGCTAGGAAGACAGCCAGAAAGAGTGTAGTGTCATGAAAACTCAGGGAAGAATGAGTGTCTGGGGTGCGGTAGTCAATAGTGTTAAATACTCTAGAGATTTCAAGAAGTAGGAGGACTGACAAAAAGCCATCTGGTTTGGCAATTAAGAGCACACTGGTAACCTTGACATGAGTCCTTTCGGCTAAGTGACGAAATTAGGAGTCAGATTAAAAATAATTGAAGGGACTGGCTTTTTCTGGGATGGTTTCAGAGAAGACTTCTATAAACTGATGCAAAGTGAAGTGACCAGAACCAAGAGAATAATTTGTACAATAATAAGAATGTTGTAAAGACAAACAATTTTGAAAGACTTAGGAACTCTTATTAACACAAGGACCAACTTAATTCCAAAACACTCAAGATGGAATATGCTACTTTTCTCCCGATAGATGAATTTAGGATACAGGTATATATACATACAAACATACATACACACATACACACATACATACATACATACATACATACATACATACATATATATGGCTAAAGTAGAAATTAATTTTTCTTGACTATATATTTGTAATAGGGAATTATATTTTTCTTGCTTTCTCAGTGAGGAAGAAGGGGAGGTAGGAGAAAGAGAATTCAGGGTTGAAAATAAATGAAAATTGAGTTTATAAAAGAGATTAGCCTTCTTTGCTGCTAGTTTATCAGGTTGTTACTTCACTAGGATTCTTTGTGTCTTAGATCATGGAAATAGCTGAAATTGTTTTATCTCTTGAACATAATTCTTATTTTAGAAAGATATAAGAGATCACAAGAATTTATTCTTCCATCTTGTTGGACACATGACCCATAAGTCAATTGCAAGGGGTTGAGAAGTGAGTTGGACGTGAGAAAGTAGAGGTGATGGAATTGAGAAAGTAGAGAAGATGAATTAGATAGCTTTTCCTAAGAAACTAATTACAAAAGGAAGGAGAGATAAAGTATAACAGCTTGAGGGCATGGTAGAATCAAATGAAATTTGTCTTGTTTTACTTTGTTTTCAAAGAGGAGGGGAAGCCACTAAAAATAGGAAAGAAACCGTTGAAGAACTCTCTCGGTTCTCATTGCCGTCACACTAGCAGAGGTCAATCCATCGACCAACAAATATTTAAGTTCCTACTGCTTTCCAGGCATTGTTCTAGGTATTAGGCATACAAGCACAAAGAGGGGGGAAATTCTTACCCCAGTGGAACTTGCGTTCTAATGGGGGAGACAAGAAGTACACCACACACACACACACACACACACACACACACACACACACATCACAAATGAAAATTAAGAAATACAAATATATACAGATTAGTTAGACACAAGGTGGTTTGGGAAGGGGGGCACTATGTTAAGGGGATCAGGAAAGGCTGCATGCAGAAGGTAGTACACAAATGCTTTGAAGTAACATGACCAGACCCGAAATCTTCACATCTCTGTTTAAAATCTTTGAATTGCTTTCTGTTATTACCCCTACAACGACATCCCAATTCCTTAGCTTGGCATTCGCCAGTGTGATCTGGTACCACTCTTACATTTCCAAGTCTTACTTCCACATTACTTCCTTTCAAATGCATTGAGTGATTAAACGAATAAAGCATTTCTTAAGCACTTACTGTGTACAAAGCACTAGCATTCATAGTTACTCCATGCTCTCCTGCTTCAGCAACTTTGATCATGCTATTCCCTACCCTCAGAATGTTTTTTCTTTAAATTCTCTACTGCTTGCCCCCATCCCCATCCACTCCCGGTTATATGGGAAATCTCTGAGCATTAAGGCTGTGACACTGGGAGAAGGACAATACTGCTTGGGTCCAGGATTATAACTAGAAATTCTTGTAACTGGGGCAAATTCAGCTTTGAGGGGAGGGTGGTGTAGAGGTCAGTTGAATTTACTCAAAGAGGTTACACAGGCAAAGGAAGTTGCCCATCCCCTAGAAGGCCCTTGACCCTTGACCTTCCAATCTCTGTGGCTGCAGTAAAGATGTGGGTGGGGAATTCAGCAGGTGGGGTATATAGTGAAGTAGGATAAATGGTTTAGGAGAGGAGTACCACTGTGACTCCACTCTTAGTGTGGTAACCCAGGGCTGGGA